CCCCCCCCCCCTTCCATTTCCTCCCGCCCTCCCTGCCAGTAGGCCGGTCGTGTGTGCGTGTGTGTGCGCGCGCGTGCGTGCGCCATAGCCTGATACATGACTGGACCGACCTGGGCCATGCAGGGCCGCCTGCCGCTGGCGCCCGATGCGCCGGCCGCCCCTGACCCGGCCCTGGTGTGCGTCGACCTGCGCAGCCGGCTGCCCCTGTCGACGGTCGAACAGCCACTCACGGCCCTGGTGGCCTCGCTGGCGGCCGAGGCCGGCTTTCCCCTCGGTGCGTGATCTCGAGCCCTCCCCCCCCCCCTCCTCCGGTGCCCCCCTCGCCCCTCTGTCCCTGCTGACGGCTCCCCCTCCCCCCCCCCTCCCCCCCACCTTACCCAACCTCCGGGGCCATGCTTGCCTGCTCTCTGCGCCTGAACCGCGCGCGCGCGCGCGCACACACACACAGGCTCCTGCTTCATCAGCGACGCCCCCATCGAGGAGCCCGCCGAGGCCGGCGACCCGCGCCATGTCCTGGTCCTGGTGGCCTCGTCGGGCTTGAGCGACGGCGGGCTGCAGGACCGCGTGGCGCGGCTGCTTGTGCTCCTGCGTGCGCAGCCCACCGAGGCCGTTGTCCCTGACGCCGGGGCCGACGCCGGGCCGCTCTTTTCCGATGTGGCCCTGTCCGCCACGCCGGTGACCGATGGCGCGCCGCTGCTGTGGCATTTCTCCCTGAAGGTGCGCCTCGGGCGATGGTCTCTCCTTCTCTCCGACTGCCGCCGCCGCCGTTCCCACCCGGCCGCATGTCTGACACCCTCGAGTGTATGCAACCTTGGCATGGGCCTTGCGCTTGCGGCCGTTTGCCGGTCGGTGCTGCTGCTGCGCCCGCCGACCGCGTGCCTTCTCCGGCGGTCGCGGCCATGCGCACGCGCGCGCACGCACGTGCGATCGTGCCCCCACGGCCACAGATCGAGGGCATGACATGTCGGTCATGCGCCAACCTCCTCGCCTCGCTGGCCGGCGACGCGGCGGCCGAGGCCGAATTGCGCCTCCTCACGCGGCCGCAGATCGACCCGCGCGCCGGGCAGGGCGAGCTGCTCCTGTGGACCGGGGCCTCGCCGGGGGCCGCCGGCCCGGCGATCGAGGTCTTCTTCGATGCGCTGGTGGCTCTGGCCGAGATGTCCGGTTTCACGGTGGCCGTGGCCCGGGCGCGAATTCCCCACCTCCGGTGCGTGTGCGCCGAGGCGCTGTGTGTGTGTGTGTGTGTGTGTGTGTGTGTGTGTGTGATGCCCGGGCGTGCGACCACATGTGCACGGTCCCCCCCCCCTTCACCGGGCGTGCCACCTTCCTCTCCCCTCGCTCACCCTGATGTGTGCCTCCCGGCGGTCGCGCCCTCCCGGCGTCTGCCTGCCTTTTTTAACACCCGCCGTTGGACACCCCTTTCCAGCCTGCCGCTGACCCTGACCGGCATGCGGTGCCGGTCGTGCGTGCGCAAGCTGAGCAACGCCCTGACCGACACGCTGACCCAGCAGCCGGCCCCTGCCGCCGGTCGGGCAGCCGGGTCCGGCGCCGGCTTCCCAGGCGGGTGCACCGGCTTCGATGTGCCGGTCCCCGGGCATGCGGCGCTCCTGTTCGCCCATGCCCGGGACCTGGCCGATGCGCTGCACTCGGTGGGCGCCTTCGCCGAGGACCTCGGGTTCGAGCTGGTGTCGCCCTTCGACCTGGAGGATGTCCATTTTGAGCCGCTGTCGCTGGCGGCCAGTCCGGAGGCCCCCCCGGCCCCGGCGGCATCCCTTGTGCCCGGTGCCGCCGTCCAAAAGCCGGCTGGCGCCCTCCCAGCCGCCGAGGACTCTCCGTCTGCCGAATCGCCAGGAGGGCGAGGCATGTCGTCGGTCATGTCGTCCTTGCCGGCGGCCGAGACCGCCACGGCATCCTCGCCGCCGCCGCCGAGCACGTTCCTCGGCCCGCCGAGTGATGCATCTACCATCTCGCTGGCAGCCAGCAAGTCCGACCGGGGCGGCCTGTCTGCGGATGCACTTTCGCCGCCGGTGTGGGGCTCGGCCCCGGCGAGTACCGGCGTCGGTGTCGGGGCCGGACCCACCGCGGCTGTCCCTCCTCCCCGGGCCGCCGCCACCGCCGCCGCCACTGTTGCCACCACCACCACCACCACCACCACCACCACCACCACCACCGCCACTACCGCCACCGCCGGCTCTCGCAGGCCCCAGTCGCCCGGCTCCCGGCCGAAGACCGGGCATCTCGTGGTCAAAGGCATGACGTGTGGCTCGTGTGTCAGCTCGATTGAGCGCCACGCGCGCAAGGTCCCCGGGCTGCTGGAGATCCGCGTGGCCCTGCTGGCCGAGCAGGCCGAGGTGGTCTTCAACCCGGAGATCATCTCCTTGGAGGGCATCGCGCGGGAAATCTCCTCCGCGGGGTTCCCCTCGACGGCCATCCACATCCGCACGCCGGGCCGGGACGACTCGGGCGGGCCGGCGGGGGCCGCCGGTCCGGCCACAGACCGGGTGCCCCGGCTGCCGGGCGAAAGTGTGGGCGAGTGGCGCGCGCGTGCGCGTGCGTCCGATCCGGACGCCGCGGCGGCCGGGGCGGCCGCCGGCCCGGATGCCGGGTCCACGGCGGCGGCTTTGTCGCGCGCGTCCGAAGTCCGCCGCTGGCGGCGGGACTTCTTCACGGCGCTCATCTTCACCCTGCCCGTGTTCATGCTGGACATGGTCCTGATGGAGGTGCCGGCGGTCAAGTCCTTTGTGCGCATCGAGCTCGTTCCCGGGCTGTACCTGGGCAACCTGATCCTCCTGCTGTTGACGACGCCTGTGCAGGTGCGTGCCGGCCCCGTCCCTCTCTTTGTGTCCTGCTCCCGGGGCTTTCCCTCTTCTTCTTTCTTTCCCTCTTCTTTTCCCCTCCGCACAGTGTGCCTCAGCGCCTCTCCTCGCCTGGCCACCGGCTGACCTCCCATGTCTCGGGGATGGGCTTGCTCTGCTCGCGGCTCCCCTCTCGGGGGATGTCCCCGCGCGCCTCCCCCCCCCCC